ACTGCCAAAAGAACCAATAGATCTGTTTTGGAAGAAGTGCAGCCAGAGTGCTTCTTGGAGGCCAAGATGCCTAAACTTTGTCTCTCATATTTTGGACATATTGTCAGGAGGGAACAGTCACTGGAGAAGCATGTCATGCTGGGTAAGATGGAGGATCAGAGAAAAAGAGGACGACCCCCAACAAGATGGATCGGCCAGGTGGCATCATTGATGGCATGAAGTGTGACAGCGGTACTGAGGTTGGCCCAGGATCACACATTGTTTCATTCTGCTGTGCATGGGGTCGCTATGAGTCGGTTCTGACTCGATGGAACATGACAACAACAACAACAAAGGGTTAGGAGTCCTGGTGTGTCACTGTAGGCTAAGCACTGGATTGCTAACCTCACCAGCCACTCACCCACCAGCCGCTCCTCGGAAACACTGTACCGGGTTGAAATGAGTCGGAGTGGACTCAATGGCACTTAACAACAACAACAAAAAATTAAGAACATGAGAAAATTGCAGATGAAACCAAGGACACAGAAAAAATTTTAGAAGAACTCAAGAAAGCACTAGAAGAACATACTGAAAAAATCAATTAAAAATGAGAAACCATGCAAAAACTACAAACAGAAAACCAAAATTTTAATACTAAGAATTTAGGGATAGATAATACATTGAAAAGGCAAATACATAGAATTGAATCAATGGAAGGCCAAATTGGTGCGCTTGAAGTCAATCTCTCAATATTCATCTGCTAGAGGAAGCTCTGGGAGTGTAGTGGTTATGAGTTCAGCTCCTAATCTCACAGTTAGCAGTTCAAAATTACCAGCAGTTCTGCGGCGGAAAGATGAGGCTTCCAGCTCCCAGAAAGATTTAAAGCTCAGAAAACCTATACAGGGTCGTTGTGGGTCAGGACCAATTCAATAGCACTTAACAACAATAGAGGAACAACCAGAAAAAAAAGAACAAAAAAATCCAAAGAAAGTCTAAGATTTTAGTGGGACACATCAAAAGGAATAGTTTACACATGATTGGAATTCCGAAACAGGAAGATGGGTTGAGGAGTGGGGAGGGGCGGGGAAACAACCCACAGAGAAAATTGTTTTAAGAGTTGTTGGAAGAAAATTTTCCTAACATTATGAAAGACGAGAAAATATGCATTCAAGAATTCAAGAAGCTGAATGAATTCCATACAGGACAGGCCTCAAAGAAAAGCACCAAGACCTAATAAAACTCTTCATAACCAAAGACAAGGAAAGACTCCTGAGGACAAACGCAGTTATCTACAAGGTAGAACTAATTAGACTAAGCTTTGATTTCTCAGCAGAACCAAGAGAAGACAACAAGACAATGGGATGACAGATATAAAACTCTGAAAGAAAAATATTGTCAATGAAGAACCACATACCCAGCAAAACTATCCATCAAACATAAAAGTGAAATTAGACCATTTCCACATAAATAAAAATTAAAAGAATTTATAAAAGCTAGACCTATAAAAAATACTAGGGGATTCTTCTAATGGAGCACCAACAGCCGCAGACAACCTGAGGTTAACATAAATGACAACATCACCCAGAACTCAACCTAGCACGGTTAGTGGTTCAAACTCACCAGCTGCTCCTATACTGGGTTGCTGAGTTGGAACTGACTCAATGACACTTAACAACAACATCCAAAGTAAAACAAACCTACAAGATTGAAAATAAGAAACCAGGGATATCAGTTTGCAACATAGAAAAACCACCAAGTAAAAAGGGAATAATATAGTTACAGAATTTACAAATAAAGAGGAAATCAAGCAGATTTCAAGAAAAGGAAAAAAAAAAAAAA